TATTCTAGGGTTCTCGGCTCCGCTCCAGTTCATCTATCAGACCAAGATTGACCAATCGACCACCGATATTCACATAGAGAACACACGACAACCGGTCAGTGAGATGCTAGAGACTGGGAGGTATCGGGATATTAACTCAAACAATGTTTAGGTGGGACTTGCAGTGGGTGATGATTCACTGCATTCTATACCATATATCGTTTAGCTGGTTAAATTAGTCATGTTGCACCTCAAAGGAGTCCCCTACGAATGTTTCCTCAAGGACACGACTTAGAAGAGTGAGCTGTTGATGGAGCACAACCCCGTCCACAAGAAGGTGTATGTGCTTCCCAACAGCAGAGATGCCTTCTGTGAGTGTCTATTCAACGTCGAGTAAGTCGATGAGACCTTCGACGAGCCACCCATGTTGCCTCCCACTTCCACGAGTGGGCAGATGCTTGTTACTGATCCAAGTTCTTCACAGAAATGGTAATCATCTATAGAAATGATTCTTATAAACCAAATTAGTTCCATTGGAGTAGGATACTCCCAAGCTCATGATTTTATCATACATGTCGTCTTGAACATTGACATTCGTCTCCGGCATATGTATAAGTTCGACATTTATTATACATATATTAATACATATTATCAAAATATATCTTTATAAAATCCTAAAGATAATATTTTTGGCCTACCAATACTAACATACTTTTTAATATTAAGTTACACAATTTGACTGCACATTTTCTAGAATTTTACTAGATGATACCCCGCACGTTGCAGGAATTTGTTGTAGTATATAAATTTGATAAGAACTTTTTGTCTGAAATTTAAATATGAGAACGAATACTGACATAACATATGATTTACCGTATTTGTTTCTTATACAATTGCATAGCTATTTACAGAAAAATAAGTGGTATTTGGCATGCATGTTGAGAGAAATAAAAGTAGTGGGTTTGGTGAGGTGCGGTGTGTGCATGTTAAGTATAGTAGCATTGTTCATGAATGTTGAGACACATAGAAGTAATGGGGCTGATGAGTGGCATGCGTGCATGTTGACAACAATTACAACTTATAAGGGGAACGGGTTTATCATTTCGCTGGGCAGAACAAGTCAATGTACAGTTGGTCTTCAATATCATCATAGGTCAGACAAACTTGATGAAACATGTAAACACTCAAGTGTATGATGCGTCACATAGATTTACTGCATGGACCACCACAAACTATCCTTTTTTCATTCCCAACAAGGCAACAAAATCTTGATGGAACCTAAGAAGAAAAATCATTGTAAAAACCTCAACAGGTTTGTGTCTTACTGAAAATAACAGATAGTTCAACGGTTGAACAATGACAAACCTTTAACATCCATCTCCAACAAAAGTAATTCTTACAACCGGGAGCCTTTCCATAACCCTGCATTGACAAATAAAATAAGTAGACCATTAACATGGCAAAACGACATGTAGCAAACGGATGAGACTTGCCTGCTCCCCGCGTGTATGCCCATCCGTGCTCCCGCATACGTGGCATGATTTGATTGGAAGAAAATAAGGCCCGACCCCACCCCCTTAAAATCAGGGGGGGGGGGGGATGATTAGATTAGAAAGGAAAAAGGAAAAAGGACAACCGTAGGATGAAGTGGGAGCACGGATGAGAGCATGGGGAGGGAGCAGGCAAGCCGGATCCGTAGCAAACACCTAATCTGCATGCGCCAGGTTCTCTAGGCAGCAGCGTGTACGGTTCTAGGCTGGAGCTTTTTTCTTTTAACACAGTACAGACGCAAGCGCTCATACATACACGTATACATTCATCTATAAGAACGCACACACTCACACCCTACCCTTATGAGCACCTTCGAGAGACTGAGCCGGCATATCATTTAGGAAATCACCGTAGGATCTCATCGTCGACAGGAACGTCTCCTAAAATAAATCCAAGAATAATGCGAACACCAGACTGAAACCCTGGTAAGCTGAGAATACCATTGTTCCTCTAACCATCCTACTACATGTTGGTTCACGTTGTAAGCGGGAGCTCATGCGCCCAGTTTGCACGAGGCTGGAACGTGTGTGTTCGAGGCCATCACGTGACATGCTCCCACGGAGCGCTTCCCTCGGCCTCGACAACACGGGCGTCCAGGCCGGAGCTCACACATCAAGTCTGAAATATTTAGAAGTAACAACTTTCAGCTCTGATTCAAATCGAAAAAATAATATTAATATCACATTTAATACTTGATTGTTTACATACATTGCATGCATGACAATTAGGAGTTCAAATTGTCTACATCCAAGCTAGATCCAGCGTGTGTTGGGGAAGAAGCATGGAACTCATCAATGTACGGACTGATTAAAGCGAACCAGATGCAGCTAGTTGGTTCATTTAACTTGCTGTTTGTCCAGGCAGTTGAGCTGATGAATAGGGGTACCTTGCATATTGCAATATACAGTATAACACTTTGGATATATACCTGGCAAGATTCAAAAGGAGCTTCTCTGAATAAAACACACCCTGGCGTATCATGCTTGTTACTAGCAGAGCCTTCATAACCATGCTGATTGCAGAGCTCCAGCCGCCATGCTCCGTCCATCTCCTTCTCCTGGGAGAAGAAGGAGAAAGCACCTGTCATACCATGTCAGCACATTTTCTAATGGACCATCGATCTACAACATTCAGTAAATCAGTCAGTCAATATATTTCGTGTTTAAGTAGTGTAAAACTCAACACTACTACTACTAATACCAAATACATAGCTCCCTCTCTCTACTCTTCCGTTAAATGTGGAGCACGTTGATTTTTCTTCAGGGGCCAACTCCTATTATTGCTCATGTCCAGGCAATTTCTCCCTCCCCTGTATGCATATCCACAAGCTGTCAACACTAGTGCTCCTCACTGGACTCTGCAACCAGTTACCATGCTACTGAACAACTAACTTTTTCATAAGCTTCAGGCCTCTGTTCCAAGAGAACAAAATACGATTGCAGATACTCTAGCCAAGGCTGCGTATCATGCAGGAGCAGGACATGTGAACTGCACATCCCCCAATCTCAAAAACAATATATTAAATAGCATATTCAACCAGACCCATAAGTCATATATAACAGGGAAAGATCGGCAAGGTCCCTGGCTCCCTCAGCCGAGCCGCGACACTTCCGCAGCCAGGCTAAACCATTGTTGCATCATGAAGAGAGTTGACAACATCAGAGAAAAGAGGTGGACTAATAAACTTAACCATTGACAAAAGAGGTAGACTAATAAACTTAACGGTTTGCTTGGCCAATTGCAAAATGTTAACTTGTGCATTTTAGTTACAGAACTAAATACCCACACGGGAATTATAAGATATATGAAAACAGTAAAAGAGCCATCTGCTAGCATTCACAACAATCACTACTTATAAGCGGAACTGTTTTATCATATACGCTGGACAGAACAAGTCAAGGTCAATGTGCAGTTGAGCTTCAATATCATCATAGTTCAGAAAAACCTGATGAAACATATAAACACTCCAGTGTATGATGCATCATATAGATTTACTGCATCAACTGCGACAAAATATTATTTATAGTTGCCAACAAAGCGACAAAACCTTTATGAGATCTAGGAGGAAAAATCACTGTAAGACTTCAACAGGGTTGTGTCTTACTGAAAACAACAAATAGTTGCCAGTTGAACAATGGTGCATCTTTAAGGTCCATCTCCAACAAAAACAATTCTTACCCTGGGAGCCTTTCCATAACCAAGCATTGACAAGTAAAATAAGTAGAGAATTAACAACACAGCAAGATGACACGTAGCAAGCATTGATGTATGATAGGTTTAAGTACCCTCAGCTTGAAATCTTAATTTGTTTCAGAAAAAAGCAGACCATGACAAGACCTATCTGCTTGACAATTACCACCTCTATAATAACAAAATATAAGACAATTTTGCAGTTCAAATTGAACTGCAAAAACATCTTATATTTTGTTACAGAGGTAGTAAAAGTTAAAACCAATTCTAGCACGCTTTGACAGTTACTTTGGATGTTAAAATACTGGAGTTCTTGTGTTTTCAGATCAAACATGGTTGTGAAAATCAAACAGACACAGGTATCAAATTTTACTATTCGCCAATGAACTTCAGTGATATATTTCTCTAGATGAACACACCCAAGTGGCAGAAACTAATTCAAGTACAGATTATGTCGTCAGTTGGAAGTAATGTGCCCCCAAAAGTTAGCAGATTATGTGCAGCATTTCGAACAAACAAGAATACTAGGGGGTTGTAATTAAGAACCTGCAGTCGCTACCAATATCCAGACCATGTATTCAGAGTGATGGATGTACATGATACCAACTGTTTGGTGGCTATATTCACAATCACACTGACCAAAGCAATAAATTAAGCACTCGGTTTTAGACAAACTAAAGAAGAGGTAGCTCAGTTATAGAAGACAAAAAAAAAACTGCTAGTGAACCTTCTGGTGGTGCTTGGCACCAAGAATTACCCACAGGACCAAAACACAATAATGAACTAAAAATCTTAAGCTGCCATCCAAAATAAACACATGATTTATGGGCCTATGGCCATGGTGCAGAGCATGAAAAATCCACAATACACAATAATAAATTAGTGCTTCTTTGTCTCAATAACATTACTAGCAGCAAGTGCTTCTCCATTTTCTGGATAACATTACTGGCATAAAAATGAACAGAGGCACGTAGGTTTACTTAAACTTAAATGATGCCAACCCTCCTCCATGTGAGAGTTCGAGGTTTAGCAGATAACCTGTACAAGTGAGCCCTCCTCCATGACCTGATCTCACACTTAGTTTCAATATGTGTGTTTAAAAACATGAATGAGGACAAAAAAGTTCATAACTGATCCATGGTTTCTTCTCTGCTGAGTGATGACACTACATATCAGTATTCAGGGATCAAATTAACAATTCCATCACACATTAGCAACGACCAACCCAGCACCTAAGAGTCATACAACAGCCGACAACCAGATCATAGCCCGTTCTTGGCTCATGTGAATCTGAAATTAGCCGCCATTTCCCCTTTACAAGCAGCATCATAGTCTTCTTCGAGGTGTGGTGCAGCTTCCTTGTAAGGGCATATGAACTTCTCCCTGAACACCTTCTCAGCCTTCTTGAAAACAGTACTGTAGCTCGGGTCACGCATGAGCAATCCATTTTCCTTGAGAAACTTTACAACATAGTACCGGGGCCTGAGCCGGCCCTCTAGGCTGTAACAGACAATTGCCGGCTGTTGAGCAATGTAAGCCGGTTGCAAGCCCACCTCGGAGATGAGGAACTCGGACCTGCGCTGCAGCGATTCCTTAGCCCTCATGAGCAACGCTGGAGCCTTAGAAAAAGCAATGCCCACCTCGGCATCCGACCACCTGAACGCTTTCTTCAGGTGCTCCACTTTGGCGGCGATTTTCTCCTCGCTGAGGAATGCAACAGCTTGTAGCGCATGTCTGAACATCTGAGACCTACGGGGTACACCAAGACCTTCGGCGCAGGCCACTGCTGTCCGGATGCGTTCCGTGCTGATGCTGAGCAGCGATGGCCTAATCACGTAGAGCTTGGCAATATCGCAAACACCTAGCCCGCACTCCTGCAGGAAGGTGACATTGGGCTTGACCACCCGCTCGAGGTCGGCGCCGAGAACAGAGCCACTCTTGAGAGCTCGAAGGAGGTTCTCGGAGGACCCGAAGAGGGGCAAGCAGTACTGCAGCCCGGAGATGATGGATCTACAGCGGAAAGTGGCGCCGGCGAGCGGGACGAGGCGCGCGATCTCAGGGCGCGAGAGGCCGAGGCCGGTGAGCTCCGCGACATTGGGGCCCAGGGTTTTCTCCACCTTGGCGCAGAGGAGCTGCGGGTCCTTGGCGACGACGGCAGCGACATCGGCACCAGAGAGGCCGAGACCGGCGAGGAAGGCGAGGACGGCGTCGGGATTGGTGGGGGATTTGAGGTGGGAGAGCTTCGGGGCGGCCTTGAGGGCCTGAGGTCGGGTGAGGCCGCAGGTGGCGACGAGGTAGTCCTCCGCGGCGAATCTGGCGCTTGGGGAGATTGCGGGCGCTACGGCAGAGACAGAGAGGAGGCGGCGGAGAGGGGATGCGGGAGAGGTGGCTGGAGAAGAAGAGAGGAGACGGGCGATGATGGAGCTTCGTAGCCGGAGC